TATAAAGAAATATATAGAAATATAAATGAACACGCGGACATGGAGAAACCAAGATTTAAAAAAAAGAAGAAGTGAGGGAGAAAGAGATCCAGAGAAAGTTTGAGAATAAAAGAGGGAGACAGGGCAAAGAGATTGTGAGAGAAAGATTGAGAGATTTATTGAGGGTCCCTGATCATCAACATTCCTAACAATGCTATAAATGTATGTAGATTTTAACATCATAGAGTAATTAATTCTAAGAGAAATTAAATTTAAGAAATATATTTTATAGTAATTTATTTATAGCTTATATTTAATATTCTATTTCACTTTCAATTTAATTAATTATTTTTTCTCCATCTTTGTTTCAGAGTGCGCAACTGGGCTCTCAAGTTTGGTGTTGATTTATGGGAATTCGGTCGCCAATTTACCAAAATGAATGAGATCAAAAGTGTGAGTAAATACTTAACATATCTACTATATATATTTATATGTATATGCCATATGTCTGACTGGCTTAAATATAAATAGTCAACATTGGCGTAGAGATTGGTTGAAAGGCTTTGCTGACATTTGCAAATAACTGCGATTGCTTAAGTGTAAGGGCGGTTTACTTGGTTTACTTGGGGCTTAGTTAAACAAATATGTATTTAAGCGATAAGAAATTATCGATAAATACGCAGACGATGTCGGCTTAGTGTGCCAGCCGGTTGGCTTTATCCGCAAATGCGTCAATTTTTCGTTCGTGTAATTTTATTTTCCCTTTTTGCTGATATTTTGTTGTTCGTCTGCTTCTTGTGGCTTTTGTTGTTCCGACGCGGCTCTAATGCAATTTAAACACAAATAAGGCTAATTGAGGCAAGACCCACGACCAGCAGCAGAGGCAATCGGCAAGGGTAGTGTATGCCCTATGTCTCTGTGTGTGTGTGTGTGCGTGTCTGTCTGTGTTAATAAGCATGACTGTTTGGCTTTAGCTCTGCGTTGACTGCGCTGTGGCTGTGGCTGTCGCCGTAGCCATAGCTCCGACTCTGGTGCTGGTGCTGGCTCTGACTCTGACTCTGACTAYGGCGTAATTTTTTGCGTTTAATCAGACGTGCATGAGTTAGTGGGCTGCTTTTATTACGACTCTTTTTATACACTCTTGTGGGTGTGTAGGTGGATGTGTGTCGCCCATACACACACACTCACTGTACATACACAAAACAAGTTGACAAAAGTATTTGCTTCTTGTATACGCTGTAAAATGTCTTAAAAATCAATAGAAAATAATTATATACATTGTTCTAAACTTAAATATTGGCATAAATTTATAAAAAAAATATGTAAATAAGGTATTCAATTTATATCAATTTAAACTAAGAGCATTTAAAAATTATAAAGAAAAATGAAAAATACATGAATTATGCATATAATGAAATCTAAAACAGTCATATGATAAACAGAAAAAATATTATTTTGTCAATTATTTTAAAAAATTTACTATTATTAAAATTAATTTTATAAAAGGATTTACTATTTCGTAAAAAAGTTTGAATTGATAAATACGAATATATATAGGTATATATAAACAAATTTCTTTTGATATACATAGTTGTTCATGTTTTATGGTTAAGAATAACTGCAAATAATTATAAATACATTTGTTCGTTTATTTTATTTTATTTATTTATTTATTTATTTATTTATTTTTTTTTCAAATTGAAAATTCGCATTTTTAGTCTAGAAATAATATTACCTTAATGAGTAAGGGTATTGAAATCAGTAAAAAGTGTAGGCGTGCCAGCGCTGAAAGCGCGACAGCAGTGGCAGCAGAGCCAACGAGGCAGGAGAGAGGCGAATGAGGGAGGCAGCAGCAGCCCAGGCTGAAGCTAAAAATGCAAATAAATTCGCTGGCTGTGACTGTCATTGAGTCTGTAATTGTCAAGTGACTCGTTGTTGTTGTCCTTGCTGGCTGCGTTGCTGCTGACAATGTTTGTTTGTGTTAATTTAAAGCGCACGTCGCGCAACAGCAAAAMCAAAAAACAAAAAACAAAAAATAATATGCACAACAACAAAATGGAAATCTACGCCCAGATTGAATTAAATATCAAGTATACGCGACGTTGTGCGGCGTGTAAGGTTGTTTTTCGCACAGATCCTGCCTCTATCCGAATGCGTGAATTGTTATTTAGCCTCGCATGTGCGTATGCTTCATAAACATAGTGTCATAACAATGTGTGAGGGCGTGCGTGTGTGTGTATGCCTGTATATGTGTGTGTGGACTCCGTGTGTCTGTGCCTTGTTTAACATTAACGCGTTTCTTTGGCAGCGCAAATAAATTGTGTGTGTTTAAAAATTATTGGCATGCCAAAAAGGAACGAAGGATTCTCAACTGCTGACATGGGTTCTCTTCAAAAATGTCTAAAAAAAAAAAAAAAAATAGAATATAAAATAAAAAGAGAAACGTTTCTTTTTTATGTTTTTGTTAGATAAATAATTGATAAAGCAGCTGAAAGGCAT